ATTATATATATATATATATCATTTTTTAATAATTCTTTTTTATATATATACATGTGTTAATTTAAGTTGAATTTTTCTTTAAATAACTAACCGTCCAAATTTTATATCAACTAATGACAATTTGAATAGAAACAATAACAACGCGTCGTGATATCAAACAAATTTGCGAATAATATAAAAAATGTGTGTTGACAAAAAAGTCGAGAACAAGTAGCAGGAATTGTAAGTAAGATTGAACTTTCGTAAGATCGTAACTGTTGCTACGAAATGAAACTGTGTTATCGAGATTCTTGTTTTCAAATTCGCACCATTATTTCTGAGACAATGTTTATTGTTGTGACATGGCATTTTAAAAACCGCAACTTCGAAGTTTTGCTTCGAATAAAGCTATAGGAATTCTACAAACAAATAATAATTCAACATGTAAACGATCTAAATTGTTTTTTTTTTCAAATACGAACGATCGATTATCCTTAATAATTCGTAATAATAATAATAATAATAAAATAAAACAAATGAATTATAAAAAAGAATTATATATAAAAAATGATTATATATTATCATTTATATAATTTTTTAAATATTATTATATATATATACAAAATTATGAAGAATCGATAAGAGTTTTGATATTTGTTTCTCGATAAATTATTAACGTCATATTTATTATTATTATTATTATCGATTTAAACACAATTTTGATTATCTTCGATTGTAATTTTGATAACGCAAGATCGGATCCGATCTCTCGCTTCCGTTAAGTCGAATTTTTCTCGAAGAATCACAGAGCAGCAGTCTCTCTCTCATCTTTGTAGCAATAATTCAAGATTCCGCAATATTACAAACCTACTCGGCAAGTACAACACGTTTCAAGATTTAAAAGATTAAATCGGTGAGATTAATTGCAGAATAATCGCGTGGTGTCATATGTCAGGGGACAACCTATGTGTGTATAGGTATTATAATACGTTGTTACATGCGTAAATATACTTCAGGTTTATTTCATTCGATTTGGTTTATGCAGACTCATATTC